GAGGGTATGTCTGTCTATTTCAGAATAACAGGGAAAAAATAATCCTGGTAGCTTTTTGTCATGTCAGAATTAGGTTTTAGGCTTCCTAAATGCATCGGTGTGGATTCATTTCATTTCTTCCCTACAGAGCAAACATGAATGTTGGAGTTGCCCACAGTGAGGTGAATCCAAATACTCGTGTAATGAACAGCCGGGGCATGTGGCTGACATATGCATTAGGAGTTGGCTTGCTTCCTATTGTCTTACTCAGCATTCCTTTCTTCAGTGTTCCTGTTGCTTGGACCTTAACAAATATTATACATAATCTGGTAAGAATTTTAGCTTTATTCTAACCACTTAAAAGCTTAAGGTTTATGTTGCCAGGGGTTGAGGAGAAGAAGGAATGGGGAGTTAATGTTTAATGGGTACAGAGATTCAGCTTTGCATAATGAAAAAGTTCTGGAAATGGATGTAGTGTGATGGTTCCATAAGAGGATGAATATACTTGATATATTATAAACAAAAATGGGACTTTGCCATGGTGTGCGGTATTGTGTTTTGTTTGCTCACTAGGACTCACACCCAGGGCCATGTGCATGCCAGGAGAAGGTCCAGCCTAACAATGATATTTTTTGATCGCTTATTGAGATATAATTCATATTAAATTCTATTACTATTAAATTCTAATACTATTAAATTCACCTATTTGAAATCTATGCTTCACAATTAAAACATACAATTCAGTGGTTTGTAGTATATAAGAATTAATTTTAAAGAATTCTGATCTGGTATAGGGTTCTGTTTTTTCTATCATGCTTTTTATCATTGGGCCTTTTTTATATGTAAGACTTTTTTCTCCTGTTGTTTGCATAGAATCTAGAAAATAGTGGGTAATTTTAGTAAAAATTACAAGACACTGTAATTCACGTTATTATAAGGAATTGATTAATCAAAATGCTTGAGAAGCATTTCTCTTTTTGGCCAACTGGAGTCTAATGAAAATAATTTGGTTTCAATCCTTAAGTCTTTCTGAATTGTTTACGTGTACTTTCCTCATTCAGTACAGAAATTTTGAGCTTAATCATACTCAAGATTTTATGATATGTTAGCTGCTCTCTGTTTTTATAGAAATAGTTTTTATACTATGTGTCATTATCTTCAAAGAAGTCACTTAGAGTACAAGACATAAACCAAAAGATTTTTATAGAAAAGAAACAAACAGATAATAACACAAATCTGTCTTTTCAACAAACTAA